TATTTGTTTGTGTGTGTTGTATACGTACGTACTATCAATACTGTCAACTTTACCAACACCATGCAGTTATACAAATTCCCAACACTATTTCCAACCCCGCTACCACAAATACCAACATTTCCGTCACTATTGTCACTGCCAATACTATACCACCACTGCCAGCACTTCCCTGAATACCATCATTACCACCACCATTAATTTAAAACACCTTGTATACATATAAATCCTCCAGCGATCTTTTGTATTTTTAATAAATGGAATCAATGTTTTTTTTTAAGTATCTATTGTTTTAATCATAACATCTATACTTAATAGTTCGTGGTAATATATCAACATTTTCCTCGATATATTTCCTTATAATAATACACGTAGCTACAGCTTATATTGTGTCGCATGTTGAAATTAAAATTGGACGTTAATGGTGGAAGCTTGACCTCGATTGACGTGTATTAATAACCCGTATATAATCATGTAGTGTTAGTGTGTGTGTGTGTGTGTGATGGTCCCTGAGGTTATGGGTATGGGTAAAGTGGATAGGTGGGTAGATGGGTCGGTAGGTAGGTTAATATCCATTTACCTACCTACCCGGGTAGTTGGGTAGGTAGGTGGGTAGGTAGTTGGGTAGGTAGGTAGGTAGGTAGGTTGTTGATGAAGAGTTCAGTCAATAGCCTAGTCAATTAGCCCACAGTGCCGCCAGATAGCCCATATAACCCCGCCATTTATCCCATCGATCTGCTAGATAGCCCAGAGCCCCGCCAGTTGGTCCACAGCCTCACCAGTCAGACCACACTCCTACCAGTCAGCCCACAGCCCCGCCAGTTGGACCACAGCCTCACCAGTCAGCCCACAGCCCCGCCATTCAGCCCACAGCCCCACTGGTCAGCCCACAGGCCTACCAGTCAGCCCACATTCCTACCAGTCAGCCCACATTCCTACCAGTCAGCCCACAGCCTCACCAGTCAGCCCACAGCCTCACCAGTCAGCCCACAGCCCCACCAGTCGCCCCTCAGTTTCCCCAGTCAACCCACCCGACGCGCCAACACGATCTAGTCCACCTTGGGCTTGTGTGGGATCGATCTGTGTGTGTGTGTGTGTGTGAGGGAGTGAGTGAGCGTCGGTCAGGGGGCGAAGGTTAGTGTATAAGACGTATTATTTCTGTGTTGTTGTTAATACGAGCCTAAAACATTTCCTAAGTGACTCTTAAGATTTATTTCTGTTGAGAGGAAAGGAATATAGAATTACTCTTAAGTTATTAATATCAAGTGACCTGTTTCTCCTTCCAAGCGACTTCGAGGCTCTCTTGTTTATCATAAGTAACATAAACCATCGTAAAGAAAAAATCACCATCACATAATATCGTTCTCTTGTAGTCGAAGATTTATAGTAAAGGAAATAAAAGAAAGAAAATAGTGAAGGAAAAGTATCAGTTGAGGATAAAAATTCCCGGCCTCAATAATATGGAAATTATATGCCATTTCAAAATTACATCAACTTCTCTCTGTAAAGACTCGTGTTCCCGCCACTTCTAGCCGACCTTTTGAATTTGCCGCGCGCGCCTTTTTGTGTGAAGCGTCACATGGCGGGCGGGAGACGAGCGCTAAGAGGATCAACACAAATCCCGTAGCAAAGCCGATTGGATCCTATTGAGGAGCGCGCCTAGGTGATTAAATTCTAATTACGAAAATGGCGCCGATTCGCAAGTGTTAATAGAATGGTAATGAAGTGAGAGATTGAGGAGTTTATGAGCAAACACGCTGTTGGAGGAGATACGAACGCTGCCTTTGTTGGAACCTGATGATGAATTTCTTTTCTTTCTCGTCTTTTTTTCTCTTATTCCTTCGTTCGCTTCCTCCTGGGTGAGTGTGATTGTCTTGTTTGTTTTCTTAATGGGTTTCCGGGGCGTCGTCTTTAGCCGAGTTATGACTACTGACACACACACACACACACACACTCACTCATACACTCACACACACACACACACACACTCACACACACACTCACTCGGTAAAAGACTCGACGAGGGACGAAGAGTTCTTGGCCTAAGTGTATGTCATTATTGTGAATATATTTATGGTCTTAAAACTTAATATTTTCTTCTTTGCATTATCTTGTGTTTGTGTGTGTGTGTATGTGTGTGTGTATGTGTGTGTATGTTATGACCCAATTTCACACATTATATATTAAACAAACACGCGCTTACCTCTATTAATATAATATTAATATAATATCAATAACAAGTAAAACCAACAACCACACCACCCTCCTCTAACCCCTCCCACCCCCTCCCCCTCCACCTCCTCCCCCTCCCACCCCCTCCCCGCCAGCCGACTTTCTCAGTGAGGTGTAACGTCATCCCATTTTCTCTGGCCGTAATCTGGGAAAATGGACCGGTGTGGCCTGGGTCATGGGGGAGACTTAAGTAATTAGGTATTTGGGGTGTTTTATTAGGCTCCACTGTGTGACGAGTTAGGACAGCTTAGTGTGATGGGAAACACAGGGAGGGAGGGAGGGAGGGAACACCTGCCTACCTTCCCTACCCACATACTTAAATACCTCCCTCCCTCCCTTCCTCTCTCCCTCCCTCCCTTCCTCTCTCCCTCCCTCCCCTCCCTCCCTCCTCCTCCCTCCCTCCTCCCTCCCTTTCTCCCTCCCTCTCCCTCCTCCCTACTTGCCTACGTACTTCTTACCTACCTACTTGTACTCTCTTCCATTCCCTCCCTCCCCTCCTTCCCTCCCCCTCCTCCCTACTTACTGTATAATCTTACATTCAACATATCAGACTATTTTCCTGTCTAATACATCATACAATAGCACCTGTTCTAATGCTAACTGGGGGTTGGGTTAGGTTAGATTAGCATTAGGTTAGGTTAGGTTAAGGTTAAATTTGGTTAAGTTACATTAAATTCAGTTAACGTTAGCTTAGGTTAACATTACGGTGATTAATTCCGTCTATCCGTCTATCGTCCGTCTACAACACCCTGAGGACGGAGAGGTGAGGAGGGAGGCTGCATCGTATCTGTCAGCTCATCAGGGGTCATTAAGGGAGGTAAAAAAACAGATTATTTACCTTCTGCGTCCTGACCACCTCTCATCTCGTGGGAACCTGTGTGGTGATGATGGTGATGTGATGATGATGATGGTAGTGATGATGATGATGATGGTAGTGATGATGATGATGATGGTAGTGATGATGATGATGATGGTGGTGATGGATGATGATGAGTGATGATGATGATGATGGTAGTGATGATGATGATGATGGTAGTGATGATGATGATGATGGTAGTGATGATGATGGTGATGGTAGTGATGATGATGATGATGGTAGTGATGATGATGATGATGGTAGTGATGATGATGGTGATGGTAGTGATGATGATGATGATGGTAGTGATGATGATGATGATGGTAGTGATGATGATGATGGTGGTAGGATGATGATGATGATGGTGATGTGAGAGGATGGGTGATGGTGATGATGATGATGATGATGGTGATATGATGATGATGGTAGTGATGATGTTGATGATGATGGTAGTGATGATGATGATGATGGTGATGATGATGATGATGATGAATGATGGTGATGGTATGATGGATGATGATATGGTGATGATGATGATGATGAATGTAATGATGATGTGATGATGATGGTAGTGATGATGTGATGACGATGAAGCGCCTCATTATCTATCTATTTATCTAATTAATCTTTTTGTTTATTTTTAAATGTAATCTATTTTTAATCTGTCTATCTATGTCATGTTTATCTATCTCCCTACCTCTCTGTCACCTGTCTGTCTGTCTAATACCTCCTTCACTGTCTAAAACATCCCTCCACACTCTTAACACAAATTATTATAACTTTTTAGGAATTATTTTGTTATGACGAATAAGTTTCCGTGTTATTATCTACTACTCTCTCTCTCTCTCTCTCTCTCTCTCTCTCTCTCTCTCTCTCTCTCTCTCTCTCTCTCTCTCTCTCTCAGCCAACCCCATTTAACAATAGCGAACCACAACGATATCTTAACACACCCTAGTACCTTAACACAGCTAACACACCCTAGTACCTAAACACACTCAAGTACGTTAGCACACACTCTAGTTCCTTAACACAGCCGAGTACCTTAACACACCCTAAGTCCTTAACACACACCCTAGTACCTTAACACACTCTCGTTCCTTAACACACCCTAGTACCTAAACACACTCAAGTACGTTAGCACACACTCTAGTTCCTTAACACAGCCGAGTACCTTAACACACCCTAGTTCCTTAACACAGCCGAGTACCTTAACACACTCTAGTACCTTAACACACTCTAGTTCCTTAACACAGCCGAGTACCTTAACACACTCTAGTACCTTAACACACTCTTGTACCTTAACACACACCCTAGTACTTTAACACACTCTAGTTCCTTAACACAGCCGAGTACCTTAACACACTCTCGTTCCTTAACACAGCCGAGTACCTTAACACACTCTAGTACCTTAACACACTCTAGTACCTTAACACACTCTTGTACCTTAACACACACCCTAGTACCTTAACGCACCCTAGTTACATAAAAAAGGAGGAAGGAATTAATTTTCTTAGTCACTGTGGCCTTGGTCACAGTAGGGGTGATTTTTTTCATCTTTTCCACTAATTTCCCATAACATTCTTGTTTAAGAGATCTATCCTTGTAATCTTCACTTTTTATTTGTCACAATGATGGAAACTGCTTATAAAGTTCAATAAACTCTCTCCAAATCTCATGGCAGTCCCGAGCACTCGCCATGGCTATACTGCTACTCGACTGAGCATGTTTGATCGTACATTGCCACACACTATCCAACATGTTTGACAAACGTCATGGTGGACGAGAAAAAAATGAATCTTCTTCAAACATGTTGGTCACACCTTCAAACTTTCCCATACACTCTCAAATTGTATAATCAAACACATTTGATAGTGAGTGGGCGCCTTAGATGAGGTGTTGATTAATACGTATTATATCAGGTCAACCATTTATGTAAACAATGTACACGTCTATAGGATATGAGCATTGGTTAGGTTAGATGGTCCTGTGATGTGGTCTCCTGTGTAACGTTCTCCTGGCTTAGGTCTCGGCATCATGGTCCCCCTAGCTTACAGGACCCTCACATAGTGGTCTCCAACACTCCTCTCTCGGTCTCCAAGTTACTAGCTGGAGACCCACCTCGCCTTCTTGGCTAGACCAAACTCTTGAACAATCTCCTGAAAGAGTGGCCGCCAGAGGGAGTCTTCCCTGTAGTACACGGCCGGGTAGCCAAGAGACACGGGTACTGTGATGTTAGCTGGACCCAACAATACCTCCTCCTCCTCCTCCCACAGGTACACCCACCCACTCTCTCCTCCTGGTAAGTACACCGTCTGCGTCTCCTGAAGAAGGGACAGGTGGTGTTGTTAAGAGTTTATCTTAGATGAGAAAGTGATAACACGGAGGAACAAATTTGTTTACACACAATGACACAATGTTTACATTAATTTCTAAATACATACACGCAACATGCTCGTATATATGTAAGTAAATATACATACACAGCATGCTTAGAATATGTAAACACACACACACACACACACACACACACACACACACACACATGTATAAGTAATTTGTCTTCCTGACTCTCCATGATTCACCCTCACTGACTCACCCTCCTTGACTCAGTAAATAAAAGGTGACTCACTTGGCCTTTGTGGATCACTGGAGCGACAAGGAGGTCAGGGCCGTAGAGGTACTGGTACTCGATGTCCCAGGAACCGATGTCCTCCTCGAAGTCAAGGAACAGTGGCCTCTGGACTGGCGTACCTGGGTCACGTCGACGAGGAGGAGGAGGAGGAGGTTAAAAGGGTCATTTAAGGTCACACAAGAGAGATGAGATACTGTTAGGAGAGAGAGAGAGAGAGAGAGAGAGAGAGAGAACTAAAACTCTCTCTCTCTCTCTCTCTCTCTCTCTCTCTCTCTGTGTGTAGTGGAGAGTGTTCGTACTGCTGTAGTCTTACCTGTAGTAGAGAGCTCCTGTAGAAGGTAGCGGGTGTAGGGCAGGAGTGTGGCGTGTATCTGGGAGAGGCGAGCGAAGAGGGTGAGTGTGTCCTCGTCGCTGTAGAACTGGTGGTTGGCCTCGGGTATGTTGCCTGCAGAAGGTGTGTGTGTTAGTGACGTCACCCTGACACACCCCTACCTTCGTCCTCATCCTCACCTTCACCTGTCCTCACCTTCACCTGTTCTCACCTTCACCTGTACTCACCTTCACCTGTACTCACCTTCACCTGTACTCACCTTCACCTGTACTCACCTTCACCTGTACTCACCTTCACCTGTACTCACCTTCACCTGTACTCACCTTCACCTGTCCTCATCCTCACCTTCACCTGTCCTCATCCTCACCTGTCCTCACCTTCACCTGTCCTCATCCTCACCTTCATCTGTCCTCATCCTCACCTTCACCTGTCCTCATCCTCACCTTCACCTGTCCTCACCTTCGTGTGTCCTCATGACGGGGGTGAAGGCAGCATACTCGCAGGATCTGAGAAAGAGTTCCTTGCTGCGCGTCAGGAGGGGGGGCAAGGTGGTATAGCCGCCGATGTCGAAGTGTGTTACGCCCATACCGCTCACTGCCAGGCTGAGTGCTGTAGAGGAGACACAGGGGTGGGTGTAGTGGGTGTGGGAGAGACACAGGGGTGGGTGTAGTGGGTGTAGGAGTGGGTGAAGTGGGTATACTGATCAGAACTTCACTGACCTGAGACAAAACAGAGACCAGAGACCATAATGGACTCACCAGCCACGATGGTAGTAGCCAGACCATCACTCAGAGACCAGTCCACGTTTTGGTCACCGGCCCACGCCAAGACCTGATAGCCTGAAGACCCTAGCCCTCCTGACCTCATGAAGGGCACCACCTCACCCAGCTGACCCGACGACTCCAGCACCTCCCTGACCAACATAAGAAGGTAAACAAAAATCAGCTGACGAGGGTAAACAATGATCAGCTGACGAGGGAAAACAATGATTAGCAGAAGACGTCTAGTTACCCATCACTTATCCACCTGTCAACCACTAATGACTCACCTGCCACCCACTATTGACTCACCTGTGACTCACTAATGACTCACCTGGTACACCTGGCCCACTCTTCAGGTAGAAGGTTATGTCGTGTCTCTGGGTCGTAAAGTTCTCCTGTGGCGGAGTACATATCCAGGGCCGTGTACTCCCCGAAGTCAGCCATCCATCCCCCTAGACCCAACTCCACCATGTTCTTTATTATCTCGTCTGCGGAGAGATAAATGAGTCTCTTAATCTCTCTATTGTCTCTGTTGGTTTTGCTTTATCTGCGCAGACATAAAACAAATCACACTAAAGAACATACACATTCCACAAGGCTTAGATTTGTCATGTTCTTCCGGTGTCTCATACACTGTTTTTTGTTGTCGGGGGAAGGAAAGAGCCACTACACTGAGCGAGAAAGACACAGCAAGTGAAGGGCTGGACAACAACTCACCTCTGTACCAGTTGTTCGCCTCTGGGTTGAAGAGGTCGACTGTGCCCGCCAGGAACCCTCCGAAGTCCTGCTTGTATACCTCCCCCTCAGCGTCCGTCATGAGGTACCCCGAGGCGGCCGCTTCTCTGAACATGTCTCCTTCTTCCACCAGGTGAGGGTTGATGTAAGCCATCACCCTCACTCCCTCCTCCATCAGGTTCTGAATCGCCACGTCCAAATCTGGTAAAAATGTGAGGTTGATGAGGGGAGTTGAGAGGGCGGGGACCTTGCACTCCTGGAGATAATGAAACTTTGAAGGATTTACGCAATAGTAATGTGTGGTATGGCACCTCTTCGTCACCCATATTGCCTCTACAGCATATCTCTTGGGTCTTGACTCTTGTTTAGAAAAGTTGGAAAAGCGACACACCTTGTAAAACATTGCCAAATATTTTTCCTCAATATATATTAATGAACTTTATCTCGTAAGAGGAACCCCTTGTTAAACGTTCGCTTAAATAATAAACATCAAGAAATGAGAACCACAGTGTGAAGTACCCGGGTAGTAGGTTTGGTTCCAGCGCCAGTCCCAGAAGACGCGGTGACCGAAGAGGGTTTCTGTGGTGCCCGACCAGTCCTGGATCCAAAGGGCGCTCACGTTCGCCCCAGCAGCCACAGCCAGGTCATAGTAGAAGAGCATCTGGGGGAGGAACACACAATATGTACGGTGGTGCCTAGAAGACCAGTCGATCAGGTGGTCAGTACTTCGTGTAGGAGCTAAAATTGGCGCTAAAGCCTGAGCCAACACACGAAACAAATTAATAATCTCTAAAAGTTTACCTGCAAGACACGATGGCCCGCTGTCCTCACTGAACTCAAGGGTTAACCACAATGTTAACTAAACACGTAGCCACAGGTCATGTGGGTCACAGGTCATGTAGGTCACTGGTCAAATAGGTCACAGATCATGTAAGTCACAGCTACGTATACATACAAACGTTCAGGACCAAGGTAACATTACTGTACACCTCCCACAACCTCCCGCCTTGGACTCACCTCCTCTGTGCCCCGCTGCACCCCGAGGGCCGCCCCCGTCATGATCCAGTCCGGGAGCTGTGGCTGAGCACCCAGTCTGGTGGTCACCGTCTGCACCGTCTTCAGGAGGCTGGGGCACCACACCATGGACGCTGAGAACTTGTGATCGTGGACATACACCTCGTGACGCGTTGCCTCCGTGAAGTTTAACACTAGGTACCTGAGGGAGAGAGTCTGGTAACTGACGAAGGGATGAGTCTTAGCTGTAGAAGATGAGAGATAGCTGTAGGGTCGAGGAGATAAATGCTTTCAGCAGGAGAATATATTATATTCTGTAGCGCCAGAAGAGACAGATTACAACACGTGAAGGACAGGAGGAAAAACTCACTTTCGATCGGGGATAAGAAGGGAATATCTTCTGGAGGAGAGGAACGAGGCTTGAGGCCAGTAGGTGGTGTAGTAGTCCCCGCCAGCGCCGCCGTCCAGGTTAGCCAAGCTGGCGATGGTCCCGTTGTCCCGACCCACACCTGTGAGGTACCTGGGTCAACACTCACCTTAATGATGACTGAGTTGTAGACATACGTATATGAAGTCGTGTCATGCCAAGTTTAAGGAACATACATTGTAGTGCATAAATAACTAGTTTTAGCGAGTATAAGGAGCATTTCCTTTATAGATTGATACACCAACATTAGTGTTCATGTGACTTAAGTTTAGTAAGTTTCCTTGTGTGGTTCTATTACATACAGGATAAGACAACACCTATAGGATACTCTCATTATATAGACAATACTTTACCTGTAATTTATGCCTAAACACGTAAGAACAATAACTATACTAATCATGAAAATAAAATCTATGGAAAAGGAACCACATAAGCGGTCGACAGAAGTGAACATCGTCACGTTACCCTGCTCGGAGGTCCAGATCGGAAAGTCATGTCCCCGTAGGTTGAAGTAAGTGTACTGCTCTCCTCCTCCCCACACCCTCTCCTCCTCGTCCGCGTAGAACCTCACCCACATACGGTTGTAGGTGTTGATGGTGTGGGTGACGTTGACCAAGACGTTCACCGTAGAGCAACCGTCATCACCCAGGTCTTCCGTCACGTACAGCCCTATCTGGTGAAGGAGGTATGGGGGGGGTAATTGTTCCACCGTTAATCATTTGTTTTACTCTGTTTACATATGTCTGTTGTCGTGAATATAAAATCGATTTTTCTTGTAACTCAACTTACTCTTAAATCAGTGTCCTCGTAAGAGCGGAGAATGATGTAAACAAAATCAGAAATGGTGGCCTCGATAAAAGTCGTCACCTCGACCTTGACCAACACCTCGTCCTCGACCTTGAAGTTGCCTTGTGTCTCGGTGAAGTTGGTGTGTCCATAACCCATCCAGACGACGGGCTCCTCTGCTGTCTGGTGGAGGATCTGTGGTGGTGGAGGAGAGGATAACAGAGATGTGTGTGTGTGTGTGTGTGCGTAAACTCTCTCGTCTCGTTCGCCACACGCACACACATACGTCTCTCATCACTTTCATCTATCTTTCAGCTCCTTTTGTGAGAAGATGAAAGAGAGAGAGAGAGAGAGAGAGAGAGAGAGAGAGAGAGAGAGAGAGAGTACGAAAAGTTAAAACGAATTCAAGATTTTTTTTTGTACGTGTCCAGATGCCGCGTGGAGGCCTTAGTGACTATTCTGTGATGTATCGTGGGAACATAAACAGCGTCCATAATGACATCGCCACCTCAAGATGACGTCGTTTGTGGTAAATTATCTGTCTTATTTTGATATGGTGATTAGAGATGAAAACAGACTATACTTAGCCATTATCAGTGAGAGATAAAGATGCAGCTGTCATGATAAGAGACCAAGGAGGTACTTCTCAGCTTATTCCTTGGTTAATAATGGGTAGATAGATAGACAGAAGGAGTTAGATAGATAGACAGAAGGAGTTAGATAGATAGACAGAGGGAGTTAGATAGTTAGACAGACATACAGAAATACAACAATTACGACTTCCTCTTTTCAACCATTAAACAGAGCTTCTTTCCTTGAGGGCGATGAGTTAATTCTATTGCTTTGAGTACCTTAATATTGTACTCATGGGGTTGTTATTGTAATCAAGAGGTTAAGTCATGGTAAACAAGGAGTTATCATAGTAATCAAGGGGTTGTCATCATACTCAAGGGGTTGTCATCATACTCAAGGGGTTGTCATTGTACTCAAGGGGTTGTCATCATACTCAAGGGGTTGTCATCATACTCAAGGGGTTGTCATCATACTCAAGGGGTTGTCATTGTACTCAAGGGGTTGTCATTGTACTCAAGGGGTTGTCATTGTACTCAAGGGGATGTCAGAAAATGCATTTGAGATCGTTAGTTATCCCCATGAGTATGATGGCATTAACTCCTTGAATACGAAGACCTTATAGTCATCATACTCAAGGGGTTAGGCCTTGTGTCATTGTACTCAAACGCAAAATTCATTGTACTCAAGGGATTAGGCCTAGTGTCATTGTACTCAAACGTTATATTCATTGTACTCAAGGGATTTAGGGTTATCGTACTTAAGGGGTTAAAGTCATCATACTCAAGGGATTATTTTTTATGCTCAAGAGGTTAATTATTGTACTCAAGGGGTTAAGTTAGGTTAGTTTTAATTGGTTCGTTTTGACGGCTTGTTTGAAATTTTTATATATTTTCATAATGCCGGGAGTCTGTGAACTATTTCTTTAGTTACCGTTTCAAATTATATTAGTTTTCTTTGTACCACTAGAAAGAACCTCTTGGGGTAACTATTCAAATATTTAACTCGTCAACGTTTTATAAAATATAGTACGTACAGTATATTATGTTTGTGGGGAGACGCAGAGGAGTTGCTATAAATGTTTGCGTGTATTATAAAACAGTATTTATCTTTGAGGTTGGTTTTGTTTTGATTTAAGTTATGATAATGCGGTGGGAGGGAGAGAAAATTAGTCCCCATATATATATTTTTTTTAGCATTTCGACCACTTATCAGCTTATCATCGTATCAGTTTGTATAATGTGTACCTACGAAGCCTCACTGTTTTATAAGCAAGGCTCTATCAGGGAGCTTGTAAACCTAAATGATGATGACAGCCAACCTAACCCGACCTAACCCACCACGCTTTATTGTATGGTTTAAGAATGCACTGCCTGTAATACAAACTTTTATCGTACTGTATAACATAATGAATAAATAATCTGGAGCCAAACCACCTTACGCCGTAGCGGGAAAAGTAAACACAACACTCGAAACACCATGACTCACTGCTCTCATCTGTTCACTTTAATAACTTGGGAACTATTGTGTACAAGCACCTCACCAAGAGTTTCTTCCTCCTCTACTCTTACCTCAGTGCCGTCAACGGTGATGATGAAGCCATCTTGGAAGAGCTTAAAATCCAGTTTAGCTCTCGCCAGCGTCGCCGTCAAGAGGAGAAACAACGTAAGGACTCCGGGAAGAAGGCTTGTTATCGTCCCAGCCATGACGAACCCTTGATTTGTACCCTGATTGCTTGGAGAGTCGGCTAACACCCCGAACTTTTTTCTTATTGGTCACCTGGTCCTGGAGTTACTAGTTGATTGGTCGACTATTTGGTTGTTAATCATAGCGTTATTATTGACCTTTTTTAATGAGTATTTTAGGAAATAGGGTCTTAGGTCAGAGGGCTTCAGTTTTGATTGGTTCCAGCTTAACTTAACCTATTTATTAAGAATGGGGCCTATAAGACTCGTCCCCATGCAGTCTAAAGGTTAATCTAGGATATAAGTTAGCGTGGAGACCTATTAGGACTGGGGCCCATTAAAACTAGCCCCCCCCCCCACTCCCTCCCAATCTTAATGATGAATTTAGAACACGTCAACCTTATCCCAATTAGGCCCAGGACCTATTTGACCAACCATATAAGAAAATAATTCAGTTTACTATAAGAGTTAATATCTAGAGGAAGCGTGTGGATGTAGGTCACAACTGATAAATAAGGAGAGAAAATATACTTGACATAGACGTGGTAGTGTGTGACAGAGGACAGTTGTATAGGTCTGTGGTACAAGGGATAATACAGAGAACCAGACGGACACCAAATATATGTCTCTGGTACACAGTGTGGCGGTGTATCACAGACGAGTTGTCTAATTCTCTTGTAGGTTTAATATAGAATTACACGAAGATCTTTGGTACAAATTTGTAGAACATCTATGGGACAAAGGTGGAATACCACAGACACCAACAGCACAGACCTATGGAACAAAGGTGTAACATGGAGTACCACAATGCTATATCACAGACCTGACCGACCCAGGTGGTGTGGACGAGTGTGTATAGTTGCCACTGACGCAAGTGTTCAGGGGCCGTGTCCACCCTGGGAATTAAAACAAAAAAAAACCTTCTTCCACACCTGTAAACTTTCTCAAGCGGCGTTATCAACACACACACACACACACACACACACACACACACACACACTGTCCCAAGGTCTTCAGTTGAGGTAAGAAGAAGGGAGTGAGGTTAGGTTAGGTTAGGTTAGGTTTGTATTTATTTCAACTCTTGGTTCATCAAAGAGCTTCTGATGTCACTTATATTAGTCGTCAGAAGGAATTTAAGAGACAAATAATGTGTTTTTTTTTTTATTTCTATTTATATTCAGTGCTTAATTTACTGTTTGTATTAGTTCGTTTACAGTAAGAAATTAGTCTATTTTACAAGGGAAATGAGTTTGTTAGTCACAGTAGGGGAAGGACCAGAGAGAGAGATGGGAGGTTGTGGCTTTTAAATTCACTACAGTGGGATTTTGTGTTTACTTTTTGATTTTGTACTATTTTGTATTTTAGTCTTTTATGTTTTTGTATTCCTGATTTTTTTTAATTATTTCTTGGATTCCTGTTTCTGTAATTCAGTGTTTTGGAGGATTTTGTATTTTCTGTAATTATTTTGGCTAATTATAGATCCTTTCTTTTGATTGGCTGTTGAGATTAGGTATCGTGTAGCTGATTGGTTGTACGAATTTATCGATGCTCCCTTTTGATTGGCTGATGAGAAGTCGTGTAGAGAAGGTTACTAAAGAGCCTTTACTGTGATTGGCTGATGAGATGTCGTATAGCAAAGGTTACTAAAGATCCTTCACTGTGATTGGCTGATGTGACTTCGTGTACCGGAGATTACCAAAGATCCTCCACTGTGATTGGCTCCTCGGTGATCAGTACTAAAAAATATCATCATCGTGATTGGGTGACAAGGTGATCAAGTAGGTAGATCTTGATCATTCGACTTTGTCACCCTCGACTCTCCCTTCAAGTCGAGGTCGTCTGGACCCCTCGAGTTACTACTCGACGACTGTCTTTTGAAGTTTGACTTGTCTTCAAGTGAGATTTGTCGGATAGGTGGACGAGCCTGTACTATCGACCTCCTCGTTTCATGGGGTGCCTTTGTGGGCGGCTCTACTCTAAAGATGGGTGTATATGGAGCGTGGGCGTGGTAGGGTCGTACTCTGAGGACCTGCTCGCTCTCCCCTACTGGAATGACTCGTAGGTAGTATACAGGAGCTTGTGAGCCAACAGGTACTCTCTCCTCTCGAGTTCTTCTCTTCTCACCGGGCTTATATAACGCCGTCCCTGAGACGAGAGACACACTGGACTTGAATCAAGATTTAAAATTAGACTTTGATATGATTGGTGCTGATCAAAATTGGACTTGATTTGTGAATTTAAATCTGGCTCTTAATTTGGACTTAAATCTGGTCCTTAGTTTGGAACTTTAATCTGAGCTGGTGGTTGGACTTTAATCTGATCTTAATCTGGACTTATATCTGGCCTTAAACCTGAGTTCAAATCTGTACAAAAAGCTGGACTTAAATCTGCATGCTGATACATAAAAGTGGACTAAAGCTCAAGAAATCTGAGTACATTACCAGATTATACTTCCTCATTCTGTAGTTAAATCTGGTTTTTGTATCTCAGGAGTTTGTCTTAAAGTGCAACATACAGACTGTGAGACATACAGACTGTGAGACATACAGACTGTGAGACATACAGTAAACAAGCAGATGTAAACACACTCAACTTAGGCTAAACAAAGTCGAGTTTTTTTATCGTTTGCATCACATAATCCACACGTAGCTATATTTAAAGACAATTAACTAACTAAAACATTAATAACAGTTCAGCATGAATACTCAACGATATGATCTACATACCGTTACCTTCATCCCTACTAAAATAATAATAATAATAATAATAATAATGCTTTTAGGTTAAACATCAAAATCAAAACAATACCACAACAATAAGCGGTCGTTCCTTAGGCTTATTATATTACCCATACAGAACACTTGGTGAGGTATAAAGGCCGTTTTGTTTACCGTTGGGTCTTTGGTGGTAGTGGTAGTGGTGGTGATAGTAGTGGTAATGGTGGTAGTAGTGGTGATGGTGGTAGTAGTGGTGTCTCGATGCCAGGGCATGACACCTAGGGACACAGTGAGGCAAGTGGGAATCCTATTTTTTTTTAATGCTCATTTTTTACACTGACGCGATAGAGTAGGTCAGTGTTTTACGAGTGTCAGTGTAAGTGCTACAGTGTGAGGTGTTACAGATGACGTGCTTCTCTACACTGAGAAAGAGTTTCATTCATTTAATGCTTTCTTTTAAACTGATGCTGCCTTTTGGGTCAGTACTTACAATAACGAGAAGCTTTTCTGCAGTCAGTACCTCTACACTACAGAGGAGCTCTTCTACAGTCAGTACCCCTACACTACCGAGGATCTCTTCTACAGTAACTGCCGGTACCTACAACACTATAACCTTACCTAGCCTTGAGAGTGTGACCTGCCTGATGGAAGAACACGGGCTCTGAGTTGAGGAAAAACAACAGTTAGATGGTGTTGTTGACTGCGGAGTGTGAGGGACTATCAAGGTGTTAGATAAATGACCTTTGTGAATTATTTTAAGGGGTATATGGAGGGTGGGAGACCTGGGGATTGAATGACGTGGTTTTTGGCATCGAAGGGGCGATTGATTGGTTATTTAGGTTATTAAATAGTATTGAGGGAAGGATTTTAGATTATTGAAGGGGAGAGGAACAGTTTTTTAAGTGATGATGGTGAAGAGACGATTGTTTTGGTTAGGTATGAGAAAAATGTGATCATAGAAAAAACACTGAAAGTTGACGATTGAGATACGATGTAAGATTTGTGTTGGAGGTGATAATTACACTGAAAGCGATTTTAAGTTTGCGCTAAATAAAAGTGGATTACATTAAGGTGTAGTAAGACAATAAAACCAAATTTTGATAAACTGTTATTTGGAGAAAAATTATGGTTAAAAACGTGACTTAAATATTATATACAGACAAAGCGAGTTTAGTTTAGCAGAAATAAATATTAACTAATGTTATAAAAAGTTTATTTACATTTTATATACAGGTGAAGCACGTTTAATGTTTGACTTAGAAAAGAAGCAAATTCAAAATGTGTAAAAAGGTGTAGAGGAATTTAGAATTTTAGAGATATCAAAAAGACAGATAACCACAAGACAGATTTTGACTAAACCAAAGCCTTCCACACAACACACGTCACCACCCATACCATCGTCGCCGCTGCTCCACCTGGATACCACCTTCTCGCCGACGTGGGCCAGGAACGCCAGGCAGAGACCCACGCCGAAGATGAAGAAATGACCGGAGAAATTCTTGAGCTGCAGTGGCTTGGGTCCTGACGCAGCCGCCGTCCCTCCCGCCGTACACTTGTTGGGTTTAGGCCAATACTGATTCTTCCAGATGCTGAACAACCCCGACTGTGACATCTTAAGGATTCTGCAGATATAATGTGGGAGAGACAGTGTTGTCTTGAGTATAGCTGGCACACACCTTGGAGATTGAGATATTGAAGATTCTGACAAATATACCTGTATACTGTCTAGGTACTGTACATTACAAGTGTATACCTGCGAGGTCTATGTACGATCGATCGATCTTGATGTATAGAAGAGAGCCCTTGGCTCTGAAGATACAAGAAAATGTAAGAGGAAGTTAAAGTTAGACAGTGACAAGTACAGTGACAGATTGAAAGCAGGCGTGTGTGTTGTCCACCTTGGGGGAAATATGTACCCTGTGTACCTGTATTGTCTGCATGCATGTTGACCTGTTACAATTATATATATATATATATATATATATATATATATATATATATATATATATATATATATATATATATATATATATATATATATATATATATATATATATATATATATGTGTGTGTGTGTATGTGTGTGTGTGTGTGTGTGTACCTAAGTTACATTATTCTGATCAGGTACTGATCGAATAGCTACTTAAGAAGAATGTTGTTGTTGTTTTTGATTCATACAAACTCACTCGGTATTGAAGAGCTGGAGGTAAAGTGAGTCTTCCTGCAGCACCCAACCAAACCCAGCGCTGAAGAACACCTGACTAACTTGAGCCAGACGGCAATCGTTAGTTTCTTTGTAGTCCGCCTCCATAGCGAAGTCTAGCCAGGATTTTTCCTGGTGAGAAAAAACGGTGGTGTAGTTTCTTTTATAAGTTAACTGCATTGTTATGATAGTGTCGACAGTGTGGTACTTATGAGAGCAAAACTAGGGCCAAATATGTGGCATCGGTGGGAGGAGATCAGTGGGAGACGTACTGTACCTAAGAGGACATTAAGAGCACCAAGTGTGTATTAGAGTAGAGAAGTACCTTAATGAAGGCGGTGCGGCCTCCAAGTACAGCATCGACACCTTCCTTGTCCGTCGACACTATCAGCTCGGGCCGTTCCTTCAGCAGGCTACCAATCTTGCTGTAGGTGCTGGATGCTTCCGCATTCTGTTCAGCCCAGGGAGACGACACAACAATGATTAGTGCTGTTCTTACGCCTCTCTCTCTCTCTAATAAGCTTAAAAGTATTTATATTAATTATTTATTTGAATATATCAGCAAAGGTGAGTGGTATAAAGAGTTAAAACGAGCTGACTATAAGTAAATTTACACACACACACACACACACACACACACACACACACCGAGAAGAGAACGTCGTGAGCAGTTTTAGCCCTGTAGGTCCAGAGAACCTTGCGTTGATTGGCCAATTCCTCTAGGGAGTTAATGAGGCTGGTCATCCTTGGCACCGTCAGGAAGGCGATGAGGGTCCCCGTGTAGGTGTAGATGAGGATAACGCAGAAGGTCCACCACATGCCATGAAGTACCCGCACTGGTTCCGTCTGACGCATGCGGGTACCTGAGGAAGAAGGTTGGATGGAAGTCTGATGCAAATTATAATATCTGATTCTTCCTGTTTTTTAAGGTAAGGAATAGAAGATCTGATACCCTAAATTTAAAGCATCACCCCTAAATTTAAAACACAAAACACCCTCCCCCACCCCACACATTCTTCCCTAAATTAAAGTACAAAACAGAACACTCACTCTCCCTTCAAGTAGAAGCAAGGGACTTAATTAAGGGACTTACTCTGGGAAGCTAAGGCGAATGCACAATCCCACACATATCGTGAGAGAGAATAGGAGACGTTGCGGATGTTATGTGGATACAGGACTGGCAGGTTACCCACGTTGGCGAGTACCCACAGCAGAGGACCAACCACCAAAATACTGGCTAGAGTTAATGCCCATACCTGTAGAAGGGAAGGGAGTGAGATTTGCTGTTGATTTGGGTTGCTATAAAGGACACAGAGAGAGAGAGAGAGATACAGAATGAGTGAAAAGGACAGATAGGGAGAGAGAAGCAGGTAGATAGGTAAAAAGAGAAACAGACAGAAAGAAAAGGACAGATATACAAAGGACGGATATACAAAGAATGACAAACTTACAGAGAGAGAGAGAGGGGTAGAGATACAGAGAGATCGGAGGCGACTCTACAGTACCTGCCAGGAGAAGGGCTCAAGGAAGGCGAGGAAGTTGTTCTGTTCGCTGGGTGGAGGGATGAGTATGGTGGTCGGCTCCTCGTAGAACGCATGAGTGAAATCGATGACAGTGTCCCTGATGTAGGTGATGGTGAAGCTGGCGATGGCGAAGTCCACCACCTACAGGAGTCAACCGAACACCTTCAGAAAATTATCCTCGTTTCAAAAATATCCTGCCGTAGTTGTCATACATTCTTAATAAGGATAAACTCTAGAGATTGTTTTTTGTCATACAGGTGTACCAATTATAACCCCCCACCTCCCGCCACCGCCCCGGCCCTCAAGGACTTACCTGCCTCTGTACCATGCCCACCATACCGTTGAAGGTACCATTGGGCATCGGGGAGCCCCAATTACCGTCGGAAGGCAGGACCAACCTGTATCTGAAGAAGGAGGGAGATTATACGTACAGGAGGTGTTGTGGTCTGGTTAATAGGGTAGTGAGTGAGATATCTTGAATCTTTGCTGTTGTGACCGTTGCTAACTTGACCCATTCCTTTTTGTTACCTTCAATCTCTGTTATATTGATCCCTTGTTAACTTAAACCTAACTTGTATCACAGCTATCTTGAACCCCGTTATAACTCACGTAAAGTTGAACCTCTTGGCCATCACGTTCAGCATCTCCATACAGAACCCCTTGGCGCTCACGATCTCCTCTCCTTCTACCTTCAGGATCACGAACGGTGGCCGCTGTAGGAGAGAGAGATCAAGGGAGTATGGTAGAGTTGATGCCTTAGCTAAACTCACTTCCAACAATGACACTGTTGAATATAATTTAGGTCTGTCAAATAGAACTTTAAAAACTGTAATCACAAAAGAATTTGTTGATGAATTTGAAGCCCGTAGACAAGTGCAAACAGGCATTAGTCAATCCATTGTTTACCATGATGAGATGTATTAAGTAAAACATGTATATGGAGCAAGTAACAAGATCACTAGATTACAAGATGTTGTAACCGTTAGACTAAGGTTATGATAGCCAGTCCCCTTCACTAGTGCGTTTTCAGGGGCTCGTCATGTAAACATTCCACAAATCATTCCATTGAGATATTTGTTTTGATATTGTTTTACTTTGATTCCACAGTATGTTTACTATTGCGAGTTTCCTTCCGTCGAATGTAAACAGAGACAGGGGTGTCACACTGCGCAAAACCTGACGAGCAGATGTGAACAAAACTAAATGTAAAGTGTATGGCCAGACATATGGCCACACACTCCAACACTACGTCTTTGACTATGACAAAACAGAGCCTTATAGGGACAGATCCAAACATGCTGTGTAGGCAATGACACAGCACTTTATCTTTGATAGCAATATAGTTGATACACTGAGGCTGTATCTGCACTTGGCAAGTAGTACCTAAGCAAACTCCTGTGTACCGAACTAAGCAAACAATGTACTGGAAATACTCGGTAACCGCCACACTATGCTGACCACTGGGTTCAGAAAAAACACCCTTTAGTGGCCTCTACTCCTTAATCAATTAACTAGCTATTGTCCGCTGGAAGAAAAGTATGGTGAACAGTGGATTATGGTGGAGAACATTTCCAACGTCAACACCACTACTACCACCTTCACCATTATCACATCCACCACATCAATCTTCAACAGCTTTAGTACAGAATATACCTGCATCACTCCCTTAATGGCACACTCTGTTATGGCGTCTAGTAAAGCAAGGCTCGTAGGTGAGACTCTCTCTCTCTCTCTCTCTCTCTCTCATCGATAAGAGACAACATAAGAGGTAAGGAGACGTCGTGGTGTCATAACGGGAACCTTCTTCAGGTTCTTGTTTCCCGCCAGGTCGATGTATCAAACTGACACTTCGAACCCAAACCCGAAACCGGAGCCAAGGGTTAGGTTAGGTTAGTCTCCGAGTCTGAGTCCGTGGTCGAAAAAGCTTCAGTATGACGTCACAATCGGGACGTCACTCTGGTTCTTCTTCCTCCCCTTTCCTCTCCCTTCTGATCCCTCCTCTTCCAATTCTTTTCCATCCTTCTCCTTTCCCTCCCTCCTACCCTACCACTCTCCTCCCCCCCCACCCTCCCCTACCCTTCTCCCCCTTCCCCTCCCCTACACATCCTTTCCTTTTTCGTCCCCCCACTCCCTCACTAGTGGATAAGGTCCTTCATAGCCTTTAAAGAATGACCGTGATTAAAGTACGACTGACATTAAGTAATTGACCAATACAGTTACCAAGTTTATTATGAGTTATGTGTGTCAGAGGCCCCGTATAGCACGCTGAGGTAGTGTACTGCCCCGTATAGCACGCTGAGGTAGTGTACTGCCCCGTATGTGTGGTGTACAGTACCCATGTGTGTGGTCTTTGTCTCGTGACCCTAGCAGTTGAAGCGCCTGTACTTGAGACTTCCTGTACAAGATGCTTAGTGACCCTACCATGGATTCCCTCCTACTGAAGAAGAAACAACACCCCTCCGTCACCCTGGCTGGGAAGGTTAGTGGAGGTGTCTTGTTTATTAAGGATCTCAGTGATATTAAGCTTAGTTGAATCGACTTAATCTATATCACTGTGTACCTGCGCTGGCTATGTCGAGTATATTGTATCCACGTATTGTCTAAGTACAGTGTGCGTATAGTTACACTGTCTTTATAATTAGATTCGAACCAACCGACTCATCATCCTTACTGTACAATAAACCAACCAACCACAGAGGCAATGAATAACTACTAATAGAAGCATTGGGTTCGAAGCAGCGATCTATATTTCATGTGGACGGTTCATAGTACCGTAAAGCAGCGAGGAATAATTTATCTATCTATGACTAGCTGAGTACTACACAAGGTTATTCTTAAAGGTGATTAGATGCGATGACTTGTACGATTTTTACCTGAAGATAAATATAAGGGAATGGATGTCTTGGGGTGGGTTATTATTATTATTATTATTATTATTATTATTATTATTATGATCATTATTATTATTATTATTATTATTGTTATTATTATTATTATTAATTTATTATTATTATTATTATTATTATACCACATCGACAACCCAAATCACAGAACTTCGGCGGTAAAGGAAAGACTATAGTTATTACAGTACATACATCATTTAAACAAAGAACAACAAACATGAAAGACGTAATCAAGCCAAAAAAAAAAAAATAAAAAAAATAAAAAATAAACGAAAATATAAAATAAAGAATCATTTAGGAAAACACGCAAGATGATTCAAGGAATAGAAAAACTATAATATAACGTGTATTTAACGAGCGTGGTACTTCAGGGTCGGGAAGAAACCGCTGCACATTATGAGGACACTCTTTCCGGGTTACAAATAATAATCACAGTAAGTGGCAGGTTAGTAGCAGTGCGGCGTCTGTTTGTCAAGATGATGTGGGGAATTAATGGATTCGGGAGGGATTTATGACTAGGGTATCGTGACCTGAACTGAATTTAAACAACCTAGCTCTGATTATGTAAAATTTCATTGACCTTGATTTGCAGAACCTGACCCCCCCAGCTGAAAGGGCTTGCTACACTCGCCAGACTTCTCAGTAATTTGGAACCCCCCGCGCCCCTGCCTCCTCCTCTTTCACCTCCTTCTTCTTCTTTTACTCCTCTCACCTTCCATACATCGCGTACATATAGTTTCTGAACATAAATTTTGATTAGACTTGAGCAGTGAGTTGGTCTGTGTACAAGTCTCTCTCTCTCTCTCTCTGGTGAACAATTATTGTCTAACAACCGTAAAAAACAAGTCATTTACAGGGTAGAGAGAGAGGGGGGGGAAGAAGATTTTAGACAGAGAGAGAAAGTGAGAGAGAGAGAGAGAGAGAGAGAGGTGTAATTGTTGGTTCTTGCTGTAGTAAACATTAGCACATATACCAACCAACCTCAGACGACACTTACACACGCACAGACAAAATTGATTCAGTTATAATTTACGAACACTGAATTCATCTGATCACACGTCACGGTACAAACACCAAGCACTCCTGACTGCTCATGTTGGCGCTGTTACGGGTCATGTAGTTAGCTGAGAGTGTCATCTGTCCCCAAACGCTCCCAATACACGCCAACTGTTGACCCTGGCATCAATTATAGACGCTGGGGAGTCGTTTGATCACCTATTCTGAGGTAGAGTCACTTCTCTAGACTCACCTGACGATTTACAGGACGATCTCAGGACGATGATAGCCTCAATACCTGAATATCCGCCCCATTAAACCCCTCACACACCTTTGTTCCCGCGAATTCCTTTAGGTTATCGTCAGTATCGGGAAGACATTGGTCGTGACTCGTGGTCAGTTGAAGGAACGAGTAATGTAAATAATATGGTATTAGGAGGGACTGTTGTCTTCACCCGCCACATCGTCCACTCCATCATGGTTCACGAGGTATTATTTTATCCTTCTTGTTTATGCCTGACACTGTGGCTTCCGTAATATTTGGATCATAATTTGTTTTTATGTTTTTGTTTGTGCGTTCTGCTCCCTGGTTTACGTATATATTTTGGTAGCTTCTCCAATTTGCATAATGATATATTCTTCCTAATCAAGAGACTGTTTCAAAATCAATGATAATGTTGCACCTGATACTTTCCTAATACGAGCCTATAGCCTTCTTACATAAGATGGGTCTTTGCTTACATAAGATCCGGATTCCATGAACGAACAGGACATCTATGAATGCGGATTTACGTCTTAAAATCATTCGTAGACATTTTAATTGTTTATTTACTTTGGGGATAATATATGTAATGTCACAACTGCACTAAAGATACTGAGACAACTACAATAAAGATACTGAGACAACTACAATAAAGATACTGACACAACTACGCTAAAGATACTGAGGCAACTACAATAAAGATACTAAGAGACAAGATAATATATTATATGGGTGTAGTGAGAGAATGTGAGAGAGAAGGTTAGGGGGAGTAGGAAAAATGAGAGACTGTCAGTAGATGGAGAGGAACACGAGACAGAGAGGGACAGTTCAAAGGAAGATATGTACTTTTGGAGATATTGAAGAAAGGAGACAGAGACAGGACATAGGAGATAGACGGTATATAGGAGACAGAGACAGTACATAGGAGATAGACGGTATATAGGAGAGAGAGACAGTACAAAGGAGATATTTACATAGGAGACTCACGTTGATGGTGACCACGGTCATTCGCCTCCCTTTGAGAAATCTCCGGGCGAGGACCAACTGGAGATCGTGTGGCGGATTCTCCTGCTTCTCCGCGGCCTCCAAGCTAATCTCCACATCCGGCCCTATGCAGTTCATGTACTCCTGACGGTAACTGTAGGAAACCAGGGAGAAGATAGCCATGTAGGAGACCAGGGAGGAGATAGTGACATAGGAGACCATTGAACGTAAACAGAGTCGCAGTAAAAATCAACAAGAGAATTATGAATGAACGTAAGGACAATATTTACATCAATAAACACCTCATAACGTAACAAAGATGACGTTTAACTCTACGTCATTAGGACTCACTTGCTTGTCTTAGGGAGGAGCCCCACGGTTGGCCATAACTTCCTGAAGGTGGTGTGCCTGCTGGGGTCACTGCTGGTGGTGGTGGAGGTGGTGTTGGTACGCCCTTGTCTTAACCAATTGTAGAGGACGTGGGTTACACACTGAAATCGACGGTACATCTGCGGCAGGAGGGAAGGAAGGTAGAAGAAGGAGGAGGTGAAGGAGGGAAGGAGGGTAGAAGAAGAAGGAGGAGGTGAAGGAGGAAGGAAGGAGAAATGGGATATAGTGACATAATATACATCTTAATTAGGTCAGGTTAGGTTAGGTTACCGTACGAAGACCATATGTTCTTGTAACTAGAATACGGAAATTATTTTGATTGACAGAAAGACACACAGACAGACATTTATAGATAGGCAGACATATATCAATAGATAGATAGATGAATAGACAGGTAGATAGATAGACAGGCAAATACAGACAGATAGACAGACAGACGAAAGGTCAGACTGACAAAAAGAAAGAGAAAAAAAGACCCTGACCTTGGCTTTGTGTATGGGCAGGGCGTTGGGGTCCTCCTGGGTACGGGCACAGGGTTTGACATCCAGTGCCATGGTAGGGATGCCCGTCCGCTTCCCGAGGGTCAGGAGGGTAGTGCCCAACTGACACTCGCCCACACTGACCACGCCAGCCAGGTGACCCGACCCTAAATAAGTGGATTGAAGTTATTAGGGACGTTACTTATGCCCCTCCCCCTGTTCCCCTTACTTCCCCTCACCCCCACCCCTCACCCTCCTCACTCCTCACCCTCCTCACCCCTCAGACTATACTCACTCCATTCTGTGTCTCGGTACAACTTCAGAGAGGAGGAACGGACGTAGTGGAGAGAGAGGCGGAAGGAGGCGGCGACGTTACTGAAGGAAGACTCAGCATGAAGATCCTCCTGACGAAGACTCCCCAACGACAGATCCATCCAGTCATCATATACCACCACTGTCAGGAGGAGGACGCAGGTGTGTAGAGAGTCATTACGTGGTTAATTATCTTGTTACCTGACTTATATGTTAATTTAGTTCATCATTTAGAAGTCTTGATTGGGTGTTAACTGATACATCTAAACCAATCGCAGTACACGACGAAAATTTACAGGTAGTTAGATCGGAATTACCTGGTTAATTAACGTTAATAATGAGTAAAATAGCTAATTACATCTTGGTTTCTTTGGTAAATTGAATAAAATATTTAAGTATAAATCACTGGTATAGTGTCTGGTCATCATGTAGGTCACAGCGCTAACATTTTACTCGTTAATAACTTATATCCAGGTCACAGTCAAGGTGGTTCAGCTAAGCCTTAGTTCAGGACACGAGAGGCATCGCTGCTCATTGATTAAATAGAGATGGAATGGTGGTCGAGGGTGAGGTTGTTTTGGCTGTGACGTGGTTGAAGTGGATGCTCTGAGATGGTCGAGTGAGGTCGTCGGGCTGGTTTATTACTGCCTTAATTATTCACACACACACACACACACACACACACACACACAGCGTTAAATACAATAGAGGCCTCTTCATCCCCTGAGGAGCCTGGCCTGTGCTCAGCTATGTGAACAAAATCATTGGCCATCAGCTGATCACTCACAACACACATATGTCATCATCAGGAGCGACAGGTGTTTCCCGAACTGTGAGTAATATATCTTTTTCTTTTTTTTTTTTTACTTTACGTTACTCGGAAAGTTAATTCATGCTATCAACGTATAAAAATAAGTCTTATAACATATAACCAATGAAACGATTCACTTCAAATTGTTTAATATTCAAGGTTTTGGTTTGAGAATGAATAAAGTAATTGACGCATCTTTCAATGTTTTTGTTTTTGTTTTTACCTTGAGGGAACGATGGTTACGAACTGCTGGGTGTGGATTTAGTTCGATTATATTGAGAAAAAAATACTGTAGGGGGGATTGTTTTGAGTCTGCCCAGGTCTTGTCCAGCTGTGAGTGGAGGGGTGAGAGATTAGGGGGGAAAGGGTAGAGAGGTGAGGGAAGAAGATAAGAAGGAAAAGGGGATATGGCAGAAAAGAAAGGGTAGAGGGTAGACGGGTAGGGTATGAGGGGAAGTAAGGAGAAAGATTGGTGTAATTAATGCCCAAAGTAAACAGGATGTACTGTACGGTTAGAGAATGAATTTATTTTTACCCTTACGGCGTCAAATAATGTGACACATCGACGAAAATTTCCTTACAAAGTGTTGGCCTCTGTCTCCACATTAGAAGGTCTGCTGCCCTTATGTGTGGAGCTGCCAGTGTTACTATCCCTGTCTCGTGTCATAATACAACTTCCTTTTCTGTGGAATCCTAAATTAATTGTTTAGTGTAAATCGAATACTACGTAGCGAGAATAAACAAGTAGGAACATATAATGGGAACATTGTGGACTTGTTAGGTTATTAAATTGAGGAACTCGTATTTAATATTATATCAACATTGTCATTGTTTTCTCTTTATAACTGTTGGTCACTTTATTAAACAACAAATTTGAAATTCTTAGCTAAAATGTTTAAATCAATAACATTAAATATTGTTGTGATTATAGTGACATGTGCTGTGCATCTTTTAACTGTTACGCTGTATTTCAAGATTTATTTTTGATCATTTGAAAATGAAAATTAAAGAAACAAAAATTTTAATTTATATTTATAGGGTGTCCCAAAAAATGTACATAAAATAAAGTTGCTGGGAAAAGTACACTACACAAAATTGTAGTTTATGTTCACACCACATGCTCGGTGTAAGCCCCTCCCCGGACCAATCACTGCCTGTATTCTAACAGCTAGATTGTTCATTACTCTTGGGAAAGTTTCAAGTGGAATATTCCGAATATTTCTAAAAACAAGGATAAATGAAATAGCTTTTCTATCACGCTTACCAACCCTATCGAGACGACAGAAGAGATAGTGTTTGAAAGCCATCCCACCCGCCCAGGCCTCGGGGTAACACTACAAGGTACTGTACGGTCTGTTTTACATAATACACTTGTCTCTGGTTTTTGTTTTCCAACCATTATGTTTATTGTCTGTTGTGTGAGTGTCTCGTGTCTTTCCTCGTCAGCTAGAAACGAATTAATTTCCTGTACGTTCATAATAATAATAATAATAATAATAATAATAATAATAACCAACACCACCTTCATCACATCCATCAACTCATACAGTGTAATTATCTTCACCAAAATAGCACAACAAAGAAAGATGGTGCAGATAATACGCTCACTCAACACAGGTGGCCCCCGGCAGAAGCAGTATATCGTCTACCTTCTAATTTAAGGATCATTACCTGGGTCCGGACTTACAGAGGTTGGTCTAATGAGTAAACCTCGTCATATCAGATCTAGAAATGTATATAACACGAAAGACAGTCCTTGGATAACTAACTAATACCTCAAGACGGTGTTAATGAGATGGTAGACTGGATAAGGTAGAGTCTCATGGGCATTAATAGTGTTATCTTAGTTATTTTGGGGGGCTTAACAGTTTAGCGTACCTGTTCGTGGTAATCTTCCTTTCATATTCCTTTCGGACAGGGAGAGAGGTCACTCGGGTGTTGACTGGTCAATTCATTACGCCAGTTTTCTTAGGAGTGAAGGTACATTATCTCTCTCTCTCTCTCTCTCTCTCTCTCTCTCTCTCTCTCTCTCTCTCTCTCTCTCTCTCTCTCTCACCACCTCCCCTGACATAGATAGCCATCAAATCACACACACACTCTGAAGAATAAAAACCTAATTCACCAGCCAAATATCACAGTGTGTACGGCTGGTCATCGTTTGTTGACGCTACCCTCTCAGGCTCATGGCTCCTCCTCCTCCTCCTCCTCCTCCTCCTCCTCGTCTTTCTACTCTTCCTCCTCCTCCTTGTCTTCCTAGTCTTCCTTCTCCTCCTCGTCTTCCTACTCTTCCTCCTCCTCCTTCTCGTCTTCCTACTCTTCCTCCTCCTCGTCTTCCTACTTTTCCTCCTCCTCCTCCTTCTTCTCGTCTTCCTCCACCTCTTCCTCCTCCTCCTGGTGGGCCCCACGCTGGCTCACCTCTCACAGCTGGTCCCAGGGAGGTGACGGGAATAATCGACAACACCTCCAGAAGTCATGATCAATAACAAGGTTCACCAAGGAGGAGGAGGAGGAGTAGGGGGAGGATGCCCTGACGAAGGAGGAGGAGGATGCCCTGACGAAGGAGGAGGAGGATGCCCTGACGGAAGAGAAGGTTAGGTTAGGTTAGAAATATCTGTTCAATACACCGTTTTAGATTGAGGACAAAGTGCACTGTCTCCTCTCGTCCATAAGTTCGTCTGGGTGAGTGGACGTTGACCTAACTTGACCATAGATACTCTCTATATGTTTACCTATAATTACCAGACCATAAACACGTGCTAATAAAAAAGCCGTGGGAATCAATAACACACTCCAACATGACACACAAAAGCGGCTCCTAGCGGGTACAGAAATATGGTCATTTTCTCAGTCGCTTGCCACTTGTTTAGTTCCCGGAAGTACACACAGTCAGTTTATTTACCTGTCGCGGGCGAGTGAGTTTTGTGAGGGGTGTAATGTTCGGGTCTCTCTCTCTCTCTCTCTCTCTCTCTGTTGTCATATATAAATATTCTAATGTGTATGAGTGAGTGTATGTTTACTCTATCATTAATATATAAATTACCAGGGCGTCTCAAAAAAAAAAAAAGTATACACATTTGCCTTACAGATGTTCGTGTGAATCGTGTTTGTGTTTCCATTACATCAACACAATCCTGACTTATCGGTTATGTGAGGCGACTTAGAGCCTTGTGGTAGACCTCACACATCAACACGTGAAGGTAAAGTTGATATGTTATAATGCAAACTTTCCCGCAACCCATCAAAATCTGTAAGGTAAGTGCGTATACCTTTATTTTTTTGAGACTCTGTAGTATTGTGTTCAAGAATGTCACGCGTGAGATTGGTAATGCAGTAAGTAGGTTTGTATAACACTCCTGTTTGATTGCCATCCTTTTTAACCATCTATATTTAATACTTTATTTGATGGTAGTATCTTATAGGGACAGATTTAGGTGTTGTTCAGTATGTAATGGTACACACACACACACACACACACACACACACACACACACACACACACACACACACACACACTCACTCACTCACTCACTCACACACACACACACACCACACACACACACACACACACACACACACACACACACACACACACACACACACACACACACACACTCACTCACTCACACACACACAAACAGTATTTTAATGTCAGATTAAAATATAAATAATAATCTAAAAGAGAAGTATGAAGGTTGGTGAATAGAAAATTGAAGAGGAGAAGAGACCATTAGATAATATATAAATATCGACCAATCCTGTCTGTCTGTCTGTCTGTCTGTCTGTCTGTGTGTCAGTGTGTGTGTCATTAACAGGGAGGAAAGCAATACAGTTGATGATTGATGGTCCAGACAAAAAAAAATATTCATAAATAGATGTTTATGTCTGTTGAGTTAGAATTTCTTTTATTGTTCTAAATATTGAAGTTTTCTTTACCATGAAATTAGATAACAATCATAGTTCTTGTTTTATTCCCCTAGAGAGAGAGAGCAGTAGCGTATCAGTCTATCCTTAATAGGGGTGTAGGCCACTAAGATGAGG